CTCACGAGGTGACTGACATGTGGGGTGGTCTGCCGACCGAAGTTATTCCTGTAGTCGTCTCTGCAAACGGGCTAATCCCAGTCAGTCTCTCGGGTCATCTGAGGCGGCTGGGACTACGTTACGGACCGCTCCAGGCTCAAATACAGAAGGCGGTGCTCCTCGATACCGCCCGCATCGTCCGCCGGTTTCTCTCCCTTTCCCCCCTAACCCTCGGCCGTTTGGTCTCCCCTGCCGAGGGCCTCCATCTGGTAGGGCTTTTATTTATATATGTATTTTTATATTTATTTTATGTTATTGTTATTTATGTATATTTATCTTTTCATTTCCATTTATAATTATATATTTATAGAACCCAAACAGATGAGAAAACTATATTGATACCCCCCACATAATAATAATAACCCCGTGGGATCACCTTGACGTGGTGGGGGGGCTTACGGGATTAAGTACTGGTAACTCGGCCTTAACATCTTGCCAATAAATAACCTACCCAAACTAACGATCCTGAACCCATTTTATGGAGAATTGTATGGACAGTCAATCTAGGAGATATAGTTTACGGCCGCTTCCCGGATTTCGTCGGGGCGCATCTGGAGCCAACGTTGGATGCCACAGCATGCGAACCGTTAACAAGGCGACGGGGGACTGAACAGGCGGGTTCCCCTCGAAAAAATTGCTACAGCCGAACGATCACATCTACCCGATTCACCTTCGTCTACGGTATCTTCCGAATATTCACTCTTTGGTAATATTACATCACCTTCCTCAACTCATAGCTTATTTCGATCACCTGATTCATCACCATCATCTTCATATAAATCATGAATTACAAGGTCAACAGCTGTTGTGCAGGAGGCATCAGCTACTAAACCTGCACACACTGTTGGGCAACTACGTGCGCGAAAAAAATGGACAGAAGATATGAACCGCTTTATTTGGCGTACATACCTATTAATAACTAAATGCGAAACAACTCACATGAATAATTACCTAGAAATTTTACACCAGGAATTTGAAAGTAGATATCCCGAAATGAAAGCCACTCGGCAACGACTAGGAGACCAAAAACGAGCTATATTAAGAAGAAAACTACTGCCACAAAAACTATTAGACGAAATAGGTAATGAAGTAAGAGAATATATTATACAGAATGAGAACCGTAAACACACACACAGCACTCAAATTACAGCACCGTCACAAACAAATACTACGAACAATACCACGTTGAAATGGTCGGATGAAATAAATGAAGACATCATTAGGTTTTATCTTGAAGTAACTGAGTTGGAGAAAGATCAAACTGGCTACCGGAAAAAATTTTATGAACTGTTCATAGAAAGACATCCATATTTATCTTACCTTACTGAACAGAGGATTGCCGAACAAAGAAGAATAATATTTAAAAATAAGAAATACTCAAATAAAATTCACGAATTGAGAAGAAAAGTAGAATTGAAATTGGAGCTTAATAATCGAGAACTAGTTACAGATCAAAATTATACCGTAGTAGAACAAACGCAACAAACCCCGTATGAAAGTACAATGGACATCTTTACACCCACACAGCATACTCAAATTGAAAACATGATAGATAGCACAAACACTGTCATAAAAACATGTACATTAAATAATGCTCAAAAGGAAAACTCCCAATTACAAAACCTAATGGAAAGTAATAAAATTGAAATAGAATTTAATAATGCTATTGCAATATTTAGCACAACTGATGCTGAAGCAAGACCATACATCCCAAAACAGAAATATTCACGAAAATTTGCACAGATTGTTCACTATTTGAATAATGAAATTTTACCGAGGCATCTTAGTCACGATTTAGATTTTATTTCATTACATACCTTAATATATTCAGCAGCTTATACAGCCGCCTTATCTAATGGTACCAGATTTAACACAGAGGGAAATATAACTGCAAACAATCGAAATAGAAAACCTACCTGGCAAAGAAGAATTGAAGGCAGAATAGAAAAATATAGATTAGAAATCGGAAGATTAACACAATACATAATAGGAAATAGAAATCTGAGAATACTAAAGACTGTAGAAGAAATAAAGAGGAAATATAAAACACACTCTCAACATGAAGAATCTAATACGCAGCCACAACATTTTCTCGACAAACTCAAGCAAAAATTAAACGCGCTATCAAATAGATTGAGAAGATATTTAACATGTACTAAACGGAAACAACAAAATGCAAACTTTTTAAATAATGAAAAACAGTTCTACAGAACTTTAGGGCACGAACACCATATTAATACTACACGTTCTACTCAATTGCCATCACCACATCACTTACAACAATTTTGGGCAGGCCTGTGGGAAAACCCAGTAGCACATAGTAGTAAGGCTGAGTGGTTAGACAAAATAGCAAAAGCACAAAATATTAAACAAATGGATTTTGAAAATATCACAGTAGATTTTTATATAACATTCATTCAAATAATCAAACGCACACAAAATTGGAAAGCACCGGGTACCGATAATATACATAATTACTGGTACAAAAAGCTCACATGTACACATCCATTTATCTACAATCATATTTGTCAATTCATACATTCACCACATAATATGCCAACATTCATAACAAGCGGTCTAACTTACATGCTTCCGAAAGGCTCAGATCCAAAAGACCCCGCAAACTACAGACCTATAACATGCCTACAAACGATATACAAGATTATTACAGGATGCATTAGCGAAACATTGAAAGATTCCTACAGACACCTTGACAAACAAAATATTCTTGCAGAACAACAAAAGGGTTGTAAGAAAAATAGCCAGGGATGTAAAGAACAGTTGACAATAGATGCAATAGCCATGAAACAAGCAACAATAGAAATAGAAATATTATATGTACATTGATTACAAAAAGGCATTTGATTCTGTCCCTCATAGCTGGTTAATTTATGTACTAAAATATTATAAAATTCATACCAGTCTGATTTCATTTTTAAATGTAGCCATGCTTCATTGGAAAACGAAACTAAAATTAATAAATAACAGTTCCTTAAGTACTGAATCAATAAAAATACAAAGAGGTTTATTCCAGGGAGACGCTCTTAGTCCGTTATGGTTTTGTCTAGCCCTCAACCCGTTATCAGAATTACTCAATAGTACTAATGTAGGTTTTAAATTAAAATATAATAACTCATATCACATTCTGTCACATTTACTGTATATGGACGACATAAAAATTTATGCAACCAACAACACTGAACTTACAAAACTAGCAGACTTAACACAGTCATTTTCTACAGACATAAAAATGCAATTTGGTGTTGATAAATGCAAAGTACATTCTATCATTCGCGGAAAATCAATAAACAATACATATATACTCAGAACTGGTGAACAAATAGAGCCCATGGACCAACATAGCACATATAAATATTTAGGATTTCATCAGTCCAAACAGATACATCAAAAACAAGCTAAAATAGACTTAACTAAAAAAATTAAAATTAGAATATACCAAATATTAAGAACTCAGCTTAATTCACGCAATATTATAAAAGCCATAAATACCTACGCGATACCCATTCTCATCTATTCTTTTGGAATAATAAATTGGTCTCAGAGTGATTTAGTTAAACTTCAACGCACAATTAATACAAATATGACACTAAACAGAAAATACCACCCCAGATCATGTACACAGCGTCTCACATTACCACGCCAAGATGGAGGGAGAGGCATCATCGATATACAAAATTTACACAACAGTCTAATAGACAAATTTCGCAAATATTTCTATGTAAAATCTGAACATTTGCAACTGCACAAATATATTGTAGGTATAGACAAAAAACTAACTCCTCTTAATCTAAATGACAGAAATTTTCAGCTCAAAATAGTAAGTAAACAGCAGAAAATAGATTTGTGGTCACAAAAGTCTCTGCATGGTAGGTACCTTGCCGATCTCGGTCAAGCACATGTCGACAGGCAAGCGTCGAACGAATGGCTCCGACGCGGAGAACTCTTCCCAGAGAGAGGCTTTTGTAATTGCTATTCAGGACCAAGTAATAGATACTCGTAACTATCAAAAACACATTATTCATATTCCCAGCCCTCCAACTGACTTATGTAGACGATGTCACAGTAGCTCAGAAACAATTCAACATATTACAGGTGCATGTAAATCTATAGTTCAAACTGACTACAAACATAGACATGACCAAGTTGCTGCAATTGTCCACCAAAACCTGGCCCACAAACATTCATTCATTTTAAAGAAGGTCGCTTATTATAAATATATTCCCAGCACTATTTTAGAAAGTAATTCCGTCAAAATATATTGGGACAGGACAATTATAACAGACAAGACTATACATTACAATAGACCGGACATAACAATACTAGACAAAATTAAAAAAATCTGTTTTTATAATAGACATAGCAGTTTGCAACACACACAACCTCATTACTACACATTCGGAAAAAATAACAAAGTATGTTGACCTGGCTATCGAAATAAAAAGACAATGGCAAGTAGACTCCGTAAAAATCATTCCTATCATCATATCTACAACTGGTGTAGTTCCAAAGACCCTTCAAACCAGCCTCATCATGCTTCAAATGCCTAAATCCACTCTTACACTTATACAAAAAGCAGTCCTTCTTAACACCTGTCGTCTCACACGTAAATTTCTTAACTCATCACCGTCATCATTGTAATTCTTTCTTTTTTTCCTGCGTGCACACTTGGTCAAGGCCCGTGTGTCCGTTTTCTACCCCTCAATACAGAGGGAGAAATAAAAACAAATAAAAATAATAATAATAATAATAATTTATTTTTGCTTATTATAATAATAATAATAATAATAATAACTTTAACCGTCACGGAGCAAAACCTGGCAGACCGAGTTCGGTATATCTTGCGCTCAAATATATTTGATGTCGCCGAACTCGAACGGCTACGACGTGAGGCTGTTCCCTCGTCGGATGAGAATGCTACGGCTGAGGATGCGGCGCCACAAATGGTAGAGCAACCCGCAAACGTGGATGCCGCCGTGAATACCCCAGTTGTGGTTGATTCAAACGATGATGGAACAGTCGCCCAGGAACTGGAATCAGAGCATATGAGGAGTACATTGGAAGAGTCGATAGTGGAAACGCGCAGTACGCCTCTCGAAAATCGACCGCGACTTCCCCGCATAGCCCTAAGCAAGCGGAATCGGGCTGTCGTGAGGGCTCTGAACCCAATGCTGGTGACCTATTTGGAAGCCAGCCGGGACCTTTGCGAGACGGACTCAATTCTCTTTGGCGCCGCGCTAGCAGTCTGCCGTATCATAGGCGCCAAAGTTTCCACGGCTGGACGCGCTACTGGCCATAGTAGCGCTATCCCAACATGGAGAAGAAGAATTGAAGAACGTATCGCAAAGGCTAGAGCTCTCATCAGCAGACTGATATGCTTCAGATCAGGCAACAACAGGCCAAGAATTGTGCGCACCATCAGGATGGCGTTTGCTGGGACAAATGTCAGTTTGTCCCAGCCGGATATAACGCAAAAACTGACGGAGCGCATAGATGATCTGAAGCAGAGAATCGCTGCTTGGGGAAAGCGGATTCGGCGATATACCGAGAGGTCGACACGGTTCAACCAGAATCGTCTCTTCCAGAGTGATCAGAAGAGGCTCTATGAATCATTGGAGCGACCAATGGTAAGTGGAACGGGTCCAGCACCGAATCAGGCCGACACTGTAGCATTCTGGCGCGGCCTGTGGTCAGAGCCCGTAAACCACAGCGAGGGCCCTTGGACGGAAGTTGTGGCGAGTCAGTGTGCCGGCATTACGCCCATGGACCCCGTCATCATAACGCCGGATGACGTAGCTGAGGCGGTCCGTAGGGCCCCGAACTGGAAAAGTCAGGGGCTTGACGGGCTTCATCACTACTGGCTGAAGGGGTTCATGGTGTGTCACTCTGTCCTTGCCCAACAGTTTCAAGAGGCTCTCAACCAGAAGTCGCTCCCAAGCCTCTTCACTACTGGGATCACTCATTTGGTTCCTAAAGACCAGGGTACCACAGACCCGAGCAAATACCGCCCCATCACGTGTCTACCGACCATATACAAGACACTAACATCCATTTTGAGCGCGAGAATCACTTGTCACCTGGACTCAAATCAGGTGATGTCGCGCGCTCAAAATGGATGTCGGGGCGGTGGTCGTGGAACCAAGGAACCACTCCTCATTGACGCGGTCATTGGCAAAGTGGTGAAACGCAACCGTCGGAACTTCTCCGCCGCCTGGATAGACTACAGACAGATTCGAATCGGTGCCCCATACATGGCTAAAGAGAGTCCTCGAGCTGTACAAGATAGACTGTACAGTTAGAGACTTCCTCGAGCAGTGTATGGGGCAGTGGAGTACGATCCTTTGTCATCTGGGCGAGCGGATGATGGCTGCGGAGTACCACATAAGGATAAGAAGGGGGTATCTTCCAGGGCGATTGTCTGAGTCCAATCTGGTTCTGCCTCTCTCTGAACCCTCTCAGTACCTTACTGGAGGGCTCCGGGAGGGATTTCAGCTACGGAGAGGAGGGACAAAAGTGACGCACCTTTTCTATATGGATGACCTCAAGTTATTCGCCTCCAGTCGCTCCCATCTTATGGAATTGCTAAACATCACTTGTGAATTTAGCAATTCCATTGGAATGGAGCTTGGGACGGATAAGTGTGCGGTCCTCCATGTTGAAAGGGAAGGGTTGCTAACTCTGAGGTCGTAGACTTATCTATGCCCGTCAACTTAAGGACCCTTTCCGAGGTTGAAACATACCGATACCTGGGTATGTCACAAAACATCGGTATCGATGAGACTGGTATGAAACAGTCAGTTTGCGACGTGTTTTATTCACGCTTGACCAAAGTGCTTAACAGCCTTTTGTCCGGTGTGAATAAAGCACACGCATATAAGGGCTGGGTCATGCCTGTCCTCATGTATACCTTTGGCATACTCAGGTGGACTCAGACTGAACCTAACGCCCTGGATAGAAAAGTCCGCACTACCATGATGTCCCATAGGATGCATCATCCGAGATCGTCGGTAATGAGGCTGTACTTGTCGCGGAAGCATGGTAGTCGTGGCTTCTTGAGCGCGCTCACCATGCATAATCGCGAAGTGTGTAGCCTCCGTGATTACTTCCTCGCGAGATCGGATGATCCATTCTATAAGGACGTCATTTCTTGTGATAAAGGACTTACCCCTCTATCCTTAGCCAACGAGCAATGGCAAGACCCGGCAGTGCAGTGCATTTCCGACCGGGAGACCGTATGGAAGGAGAAGGAGCTCCACGGGAGGTTCTACAAGGCTCTACATGAGCCTTTCGTAGACACAGTAGCCTCCCTCCACTGGCTACGCTTTGGTGGTCCCTTCGGGGGAAACCGAGGGTTTTGTCTGTGCAATACAGGATCAGGTTATTAAGACCAACAACTATAGGAGATACATCCTAAAAGATGGCACCGTCGACGTCTGTCGAGCTTGTCGCCATCCCGGTGAGTCACTTAGGCATGTTATCTCCGGTTGTTCGGCGCTATCTAACTCTGAGTACTTGCACAGGCACAACCTAGTAGCCGGAATTCTACACCAGGAGCTCGCTCTGAAATACGGTCTCGTGGATCGGAAATTGCCATATTACAAGTACTTGCCGGAATCCGTGCTCGAAAATGATCGAACCAGGCTCTATTGGGACCGGGCCATCATCACAGACAGGACTATTCTTGCGAATAAGCCTGATATTGTGCTGATGGACCGGGCACAGTCAAGGATATTTTTGGTCGACATTACCGTTCCGTATGACGAGAACCTCGTGAAAGCCGAAACAGACAAGCAAACAAAATATTTGGACCTGGCTCACGAGGTGACCGACATGTGGGGTGGTCTGCCGACCGAAATTATTCCTGTAGTCGTCTCTGCAAACGGGCTAATCCCAGTCAGCCTCTCATCTGAGGCGGCTGGGACTACGTGGCGGACCGCTCCAGGTTCAAATGCAGAAGGCGGTGCTCCTCGATACCGCCCGCATCATCCGCCGGTTTCTTTCCCTTTCCCCCTAACCCTCGGCCGTTTGGTCTCCCCTGCCGAGGGCCTCCATCTGGTTGGGCTTTTATTTATTTATGTACTTTTATATTTATTTTATGTTATTGATATTTATGTATATTTATCTTTTCATTTTCATTTATAATTATATATTTATAGAACCCAACCAGATGAGAAAACTATATAAATACCCCACAATAATAATAATAACAATAAGCTCCCTCCTCCCCCTCCCAAAGCCCAACCTTTACGTCCGAAGCGAACACCGACTTCACGTGGGAGGGGGACACTTTTATTTTTCAAAACTTACAAGCCAATAAGGTTATGGCAACCCAAAATGGAGAAATGGAAAATAGGAATAAACGTTTAAAGCCGCTGCCTGGGGGTGATCGCCAGGACACGATCGGAGCTGGTGACGGTCGTGTAGCAATGCGAGCCAGCCGGACCTCGTTGAACAGGCGGGCGAGGGACGGAGAGATCCAGAGGGGAAGACGAGGATCCTCAAATGCAACAGCCGATCCTGGTGATACTTTGCAGAGAAGGGATGAACCTCCTAGAAACATCTCTGCCGGTACATTAGAAGCGACCACAGAAGACGTAGCAGTAAGCAAAGATGCTAGGAGAAAGTGGTCGCAAGAAGAACTTCATGAACTTATGTTGTGTTATTTTAAAGCGATATCTGAAAGTCCTGGTTACATAAAAAGATTTGAAAAACTGTTCAAAGATAGGAATCCTAATAATCCTAAAACACTAAAATTTACGGGAAACATACTTGCAAACCAAGCTAGAAGGAACTAACTAGGAAATTCTTGTCAACCCAGGTTTTAGACGAAATTAAATCTAAAGCTGAACAATATAGCAGCAGCACAGAACATGGCTGATCTCAACCTACTTACATCCACAACTTCACATATAACTACAATATGTGATAATCCAGACAAACAGATCTCTGATAATCATAACTATACGGATAACGCACAAAATTCTCATTTATTATCAGATATACTTACAAGGACCCAACCACTTACAACATGTACGGTTTTAGAAACTATTCCATAACATCAAAATAGATATAAATTTGATAGTCCTGATATCAAAGTAGATGACAACCAAGATCCCCTTATTCTGAAATTCCTACAAACTCTTGAAACTAAAGCAATATCTATCGAGAATAGGGATTCCTTACCAAAGGCTAAATTTTGTAAACAGTTTTGCGAAAATTTAAATAAAATTAATAACTTTTTGCTGAAACTTTAAGAGTCGCACCAGTCCTTGAGGGAAATAAATAATATTATCTACGCAGCAGCTAAAACAGTAATCACTGCAAATAATCAAAAAGCAATTACACTTAAGCCGACTAGCCTGACTGCAATAAAATTTAAACAAAATGCACCGTGGAAATTGAGACTACAGAAAAAAAAGAAGACTTTAGAAGAGATTTAGGCAGACTAGTAGAAATTCAGAGAGGAAACTATTATACTAGAAACATGATGAGATTTAAAAATAGGTTATCTAATAAATATAATATACGAAATGATCAAGATTTAGACTACACTGTAGAACTAGTTAAACAGAAAATAAAAGCACTGGCTGGACGACTTAAGAGGTATGACGATATAAACAATAGAAAATTACAAAATAAGCTGTTTCAAGAAAATCAACATAAACTTTTTAGAAATCTTGATGGTCAGCAACAAATTCCAACACAAATTCCATTAAAAAATGATGTACAACGTTTTTGGGAATCCATTCTATCAAAACCGGTATCATACAATACTGAAGCTCTCCTACCATGTACAAACTTTTAACGTCCATAATTTCCAACGAACTTTACACGCACTGTGACCCGAACAATATTATATCTCCTCAACAAAGTGGTTGCAGGCGTTACGTTAGAGGTTGCAAAGATCATCTCATGATTAATAAGGCTATACTGGAAGATGCACAACAGAACCAGAAAAATTTATGTACGGGATGGGTAGATTATCAGAAAGCATTTGACAGTATACCACACGAGTGGTTACTAAAAGTACTGGATATTTATAAATGCCCACCAACTATCAAAAGATTTCTCCAGATGGTTATGCCCAAATGGAATGTAATCATGACAGCCTCTAGTGCGAATGGCTCTGTTACTACAGATCCCATATACATTCAGCGTGGAATGTTCCAAGGAGATTCACTGTCACCTATTTTATTTTGCATGGCTATTAATCCCGTTTCTCAAATTCTCAAAAAAATATGAATCTAAAGGATACAAATTAAAAGACAATACTACGATTAACCATTTATTATATATGGATGATTTAAAAATATATGCTAATAATAAAAACAATCTTAGAGTGTTAATAGACAGTATAGAAATTTTTACAAGAGACATAGGAATGACCTTCGGATTAAGTAAATGTAACATTTTGCATATGGTAGCAGGTAAAAGAAGAGAAAATCAAGGGTCGGGTCATATATAACGGCAACGAATTTGAATACTTGAAAGCGGGACAACAATATAAATATTAATGTATGAATGAAGCGGGTAAAATAAACCATAACGAAGCTAGACAACAATTACAAAAAGAATACTTACGTAGAGTAAAATGTATTTCTAAATCTCATCTTAACGCTAGAAATCTACTTAAGGCAATAAACTTATACGCAGTTAATATTTCATCGTTATCGGACGCTGAAAAATTATATTATTTAATTAGTAAACTGAGTGGCAGGGCACAGTCAATTTGCTCGGGTTTCACACCAACAGCAAATAATTATTTGTTAATATTCGAAACGCTTAAAACCAAATATGAAGATAAGAGAATGTTAGCTTCCGAGTATTTAAACCAGATATTCGACCTTAAACCTATATCATCCGCGAATATCAATGGCTTAGAGCAGTTTTTAGATAAATTTGTGGCATCGGTGGCTGCACTTAAGAACTTAAAATTTAATGACCTTATGGACGTGGTGATTCTCCATATTGCACTAAAGAAACTAGACCCCGAAACCGTGCGTGCATTTGAAATGGAGCATCGTAGCTCTGAAGTGCCCCCCTTTGATTCATTAGCATCGTTTGTGCGAGACCAAATTAAAGTGATGCAGCGCTCCTCAAACTTTAAACAAGACGTTAAGAAATGCGTCGACCGTAGACAGACTCAACCATCTAAAACCGCAGGGTCGTTAACGTACGTAACCGCTGCGTTGGTACCACCCCCGAATGCCTGTATCCTATGTAAAGATAAACAACACGGTAATTTATACAATTGTGTGATCTTTCGTAAACATTCACCCAGCGAACGTTATAGAATAGTAAAGACAAACAACTTATGTCTGAATTGTTTAAGCGATAAGCATTTAGTTGCAAAATGCAATTCTAGTTCCGCGTGTAACAAGTGCGCCAGAAAACATCACACGTTGTTACATTTCGAAAATAGCAACATATCTGCGTCAAGTAAAGCGGACAAGGAATTCACCCCTACTAAAGTCGACGATTCTAGCGGTCGACCTGGTGATGTCGCTCTGTGCTCATTGGCAAATATGGGAGCACAGCCTCAACCGTGTTGCTGGGTACTGTATTGTACCTAGGGATTCGCGTGGAAACGAACAAAGCGTCCGCACATTGCTGGACAGCGGATCCCAAAATAGCTTTATAACGCGACAATGTTGTCCTACACACCTTCGTGTCCCGTAGTCAAGGGCATCGGAGGTACTAGTAAAGTTACCCAGGGATATATAAATTTAAAATTTTATTCTCGGATAGATCGTAATGTTAATTTTGATATAAATGCACTAGTAGTGGATAAAGTCACTGAACGTCTGCCAACCGTTTCGGTTGACACCTCCGCAATGATTGAATTTAAAAATTTGACTCTAGCAGACGACACTTACGCCGTTCCCGGAAACATAGACATGCTCATTGGAGCATCGCTTTTCCCTCATCTTTAGTTAAACAATAAGGTCAGGGGCAACTCCTCGCATACCGCGCCTTACGCATTGGAAACCGTCTTGGGCTATGTCATCGTTGGCTCCACCCCCATCGTGGATAGTATCTCGGCAAGCTCTTATTGTTGTACGGCTGTCGAACCGCTCGAGTCGTTAGTCCGCAGATTTTAGGAGATGGAGGAGGTGAACGTTCTACCTATAGTTAGCCCAAATGATAGAGTGTGCGAGGAAATTTACGTCCGCACGACCGTTCGTGATCGCGACGGTCGATATAGTGTAGCGCTACCCTTTAAAGGAGATGTTTTATCTCTCGGCGACTCGCGTCAAATGGCAGAAAAACGTTTCTACAGCTTGGAGCGTAGAATGCTCGCTTCACCCCAGTTAAAAGAAGCTTATGACGGCGTCATTAACGAATATATAAGGGAAGGTTACATATCACTTGTGGCCTCGAAATTAGATAACTACGAAGACACACCGTCGTATTTCACACCACATCACGGGGTCATTAGGGAGGACACACTTACATCTAAGTTACGTGTAGTGCACGACGCTAGTGCTAAAACTAGCACTCACCTGTCACTTAAGGATATCCTCTATAGTGGGCAAAATTTACAGGGCAGTTTCTTTAATATAATAGCCAATTTTCGTTTGTTTAGTATAGCACTATCCGCCGATATTCGCCAAATGTTTCTTTGCATAGGGGTCCGTGAATGCGACCGTCGATTCCAACGCATTTTATATCGTTTCAACCCAAAAGAACCTTTAATGGTGTTTGAATTTAACCACGTTTGCTTTGCTTTAAAGTCGAGCCCATTTCATGCGTTACGCACGGTGAGACAGCTCGCCCACCATGAAGGTCCCTCTTATCCTAAAGCTAAGAAAGCAATTGAAAGTGGGTTATATATGGATGACCCTAACCACCGCCGAGGTTATAAAGCTCATGAAAGCGGGTCAATTCGATGTTGTCAAGTGGACTAGTAATTCGCGTCCGGTTTTAGACACAATCCCATTATCACACCGTCTTTCGGCGATAAAGGAATTCGACGATTCTGATACGTACAAGGTGCTTGGTCTGTGTAGGTCACCAGAGTCCGACGTGTTTAGCCTTAAGGTAAACCCGCCCGTAGAGAAGTACACAAAGCGCACAATACTGTCATGCGTTGCTAGATTATGGGATGTATGGGTTTCGTAGCTCCGGTGGTATTATACGCTAAGCTTTTGATTAAACAACTTTGGTTATGTGAATACGATTGGGATGACCCGCCACCTGACAGCATTGTTCGATTGTGGCAGCGTTTAAGAGAGGAACTTCCTTTACTAAGAGAAATTAAAATACCACGTCATATAAACGTCGATAAAAATAGCGTCATTACGATCGTTGGGTTTGCGGACGCTAGCGAGAAAGCTTATAGTTATATTTCCACGTTCAGAATAATGGTAGAAATTCGATTAGCCTCATTAGTTCTAAGTCGAGAATCTCCCCCCGTAAGGTTGTCTCTCTGGCGCGCTTAGAGCTTTGCGCAATATTAGTACTCACCAAGCTTATTACCGCAGTTATCAGCGCATGTAGGGACAGAGTTCACATAGAAAGAATATTTGCCTTTTCCGACTCCACCGTCGCCTTATGTTCGGTTCATTCTTTACTCCACCGTTGGGATACGTTTGTCGCGAACCGGGTGGCCAAGATCCAAGACGAGTTAGGAACGCGGAACTTTTATCACGTGTTCGGTACGGAAAACCCTGCCGATTGCCTATCCCGTGGACTCACCCCGATGCAAATAATGGACCATCCGCTTTGGTTCCGCGGACCTTCCTGGATTCAACTGGAACCCTCGCAATGGCCAATAACCGATTTCGACCCTTCGTCAGTGTCACAACCTCCGGAAGAGAAGAGGCACGCTCTGGTGGCGAGCGTTTCGAGCGAGGCTTCTCCAATCATTGCATTGGC